TGCACGTGCGGCACGTTGGTCTTCCGCGGTGTACGACGTACAGCACGAACAATTTGGTGTCATTCATTGTCAAGCAAAGCTCCATGCCTAAGGGCTTCTTCCCACAGACACAAAATATTGGTGAAATCCACCAATATATGGTATGCCACACCAATACAGCGTATTGGCAGTACGGTACTCGACATGGTTTCAAATTCGGCTTGCAAATATCCGCTCCCTAGGAGTCCGCTTTAGAGGGCAAAGCCCAAGAGACTGTCCTTTTTCAGATGCCGTACTCTAGATATCGTACTCTACGCGGATTACTGACGGCTCCGAAAACCCTGTAGCCTTACCCTGCAGCATGCCTGGTCTTCGGCCGCCTGCCGTACACAGGACCACGCGCAGCTCTACGGGACGGAGCTGCCGTCGCGCGATGTGCACTCGTACGACACAACGTTAGACATAAATCGCCCAGGCATAGGCCCGCCGTTTCCAACAATGACGCCACGTGGCTGCAGAGAACACAAGGCAGCGCACACATATGACTTTTTATAAACACAGATATATCATACACGCGCACACAGACAAAGTATATCAGATTTGTGGATCATTCCATCATATCAAAAATAACCAAGAACAATTTTCACTGCTGCCTCTGATAGATGTGCCTGGTGACCTATGCGCTACGATGCGCCACAATAATGATAATTTGCCCCACCGAGCGGTAAAAATATACCCCACAAGGAAGGATGGAAAACTGTCAACTGCCGGCCAACGCTGCAACAAATCATACGTACGACAAACAAGATCCACAGGATCCAAAAGATCCCCAGGACTGATCTTCTACAGATCCAGATCCAACTATAGATGCCGATCTTTACACTCCCACAACAAGTGCTTTGGCAGTCACTAGCTTTCGACAACAGTTTTTGTTTCGACGTTTCGTTTTATAGCCATGAATGCATGAGGACCGCGAGCTCAGCCTCACATCGCATCCTCATTCATTAACCCCGTTCCTCCGTTACGTTACAGATGGAGCCGCGTGGAAACCCTGAAGATTGTTGTAGCTCTGGTTCGTCCATCCAAAAAAAAGCACCCAACACCAACATCCCATCCCAATCATCCGAACAACAATATACATCATCCCGCCGCCTCCCTCCCCTCTTCTCTCTCACCCTCACAACGACTCCTCCCGAGCGAGATTTAGAGATCTGGAGCAATCCTGGCAATCCTTCCGCATCTGCCTTTCCTCCTTCCGCACAGCAAGCCACCGCGAAACATAAAAGAAAATTTACATTTTACCGCGTATGAGGGGCTGCCACTCGCGGTACCCGGATGCAAGAGCTGCAGCAGCAGAAAGCGGCAAATGGTGGTGCATTTGCCGCTTTTAAAAGCAAGGGGACAGGGACAGGGACAAGAGATAAAAGAGAACCGAGCAGACAAAAGGAACGCAGTGCACCTCGGCGTGCGAGAGGGACACCGATAATGTTGTCGGCGAATGAACTAAAAACTGAACTAAAACCTGCAGACATACACATATACATACATACATACACCTGCGTAGTGTGCATATCCAGCCGGCTACTGATTGCGGCTGAGTTCATTTCAACGTAGATGCTGAACACAGACATACAGACACACACAGGACGGAGCCTCGTGACTCATGAGAGCGTCCGCGCGTGCGACGCCTCTCCCATCCCCCACCCGGGGGGGAGGAGAGCAATCGTCTCACTCCTCCTGCTCGCACTTTTCCAACAAATGCCGCAAAACCCAAATCACAAATCAACAGCACCACTCGGAGAAACGTACCTGTGGTGAGCTCCGTGCCACCCCTCCTGCCGTGCCGTTGTTGCGGCCAGCTACACTTAGACCCTCCCGCGGCCCTCCCTAACCCCTCACCCCCCCCCGGCCGCAAACACCCCCTCACCCCCATGACGTCACATCATCTCGTCCCACACATCCTCCTGATTGACAACTCAGGGGCCGCGGAGCCCATTCTTGACATTTCAGGACGGCGTCAACACCGTTCGAGGACTCAGATATCGCATATCGCCTCCCAAACACGCACCCGGTGAGGTCCTACCGGACCTAACTACCCGAGATATATCCTGCCTTTCGCCATGTCCCATTAACGAGGTGCCGTACAGCGAGGTGTCGTACAGCATTCCCAGCAACTGAATATAAAGGACCCCGAGTGCCATCACTGCTTTCAAATGGCCCCCCGTCGAGCCCTAGGGTTCAATTCCTCTGCATTTCTACAACACTACTACAATTCCTCCTCCTCCTGCTACTACTACTACTACTACTCATCCTCCTACTACCACTACTATTCTCACCAGCCATCACAACATCTCGCACAGTCACTGCCGCCTATCCGCCAGGTCGCTGCGGCGTTCGATGTCCAACTCCTATATCTTGATCCGCGATTGGATTTCGCGCAACGGAAATTCAAAAATTCAAATTTGGCCCTCTCCAAGTCCCCAACCTACAAAACCGGGGATTGCGGTGGCTGCTTCGATGTCCCAGTCACGTGAAGGTTCCGGAGCCCGCTTACAAGGCCGCCTTCGCAATCGTAGGCGGGGTCAGTGCCCAGCACCGCATCCAGATGTACGGAAGTGGTTGTGTACGGCAATGATGGTCGCTCGTCGTACTCACTCCCATCCGCCGCGCGCTGGCTATAAGCCCCAGTGCGTCCCGTGGCCAACATGGCCGGCTTTGTTTCCAACGCGCTGCCGTACTTGTCGTACTTGCCGTACTCCTTGAACTCCTGCCTAATCCACTCGCCCTGCTCCACCCCGCCCTTCTGCTCCTTATCCTCGCCATCTAGATACGAGCCTTCTCCGGCCTCCCCTGCCTTGTTTTCAAGGTACCCCAACCCATCCCCTTCCTCCCCATCCTCTCCATCCTCCTCATCACCCTCATCGTCGTACATCTCACTCTCGTACTCATCCTCGTACATGTCACCATAATCGTCGTCATCAAACTCCGGCTCGTAGTCAAAGTCCGGGAAGGGCGGCTCAACGGGAAAAGGGGCATCAACACCATCCAGATCGTACGGCATGTCGTACAGGTTGCCGTACTCACCCGCCGCCGCCATCATGGCCTCCCAACGGTCCAGCTCGTCGCCTTCCTCACCTTCGTCCCATGCAAGATCCAGATCTTCGTAGTCGGGGCCGGGCGGCAGCGGGGGTTCCAACAGGAAATCCGGCTCAGGTATCATGGGCATCGGCATCTTGGAAATAAGCTCTAGGCTCTGGGTCTTTTGAAACAGCGCCAAAATGACCTGGGAGTAGAGGTCAGGCTGCTCCACTGACATCGCTTGCAGTCGCTCGCGACCCACGGGTCCGTCCTCCAGCGCCCGCTCCACCGCCCGCACAGCCGCATCCAGCTCCGCCGCGGAGGGTGCGGAGGGGAAGCTAGCTGAGCGGCTGTTGATGCTGATGCCGCCGCGGCCAGAGGTAGCCGCGGCAGCGCCTCTGGGGCCGTCGCGAGCGGCCTGTCGGCCGCCCCGCGCTCGGACGGGTGGGAGCAGATTCCGTTGCTGTTGGCGCTGCTTTCGCAGCTGCTGCTGAGTGAGGGCGCGACTGGGGGGTGTTGGTCGGGCGGCTGCACTGGTGGTTCCAATCACCAGTGGGGGCCTGGATGCTGCTGCCGGAACGAGAGACGTAGCTGATCCTTGCGCCGCTTTTGTTGAGTGCCCGGAAGCGGCAGTCGATGAGCCACCTGCAGCGGCGTTGCTGGTGCTTCCGTCGCCACGTCCCGAGGTCAAGGGCAGCTCCTGACTACTGCTAATTAACTGTTCGTTGTGGTTCTGCGAGGCTGCTGCATCGTGCTGACTTTGGCCAGCGGAATTTCGGGCGCCGCGCTGTCGCGCCTTGACCTTCATCCGCCGCCAGCGGCTAAAAGATAGCGGGGATGTGCCGCGAGCCTGATATGTGGTCTATAACTTGTCACAGCAAGTACAGTGCCAACACCTGCCTGTCCCCGATGTAAGGTGTTCTGTTACTAACCTGTGCCAAAACATACAGGACGATGATCGAAAATTGGAGGACTAAGTTGGACTAATAACAGCACAAGTATACACGCTTCGTTTCGTCAAAAGATATGGGTCGGCTGTGTGCACGGCGCCTTGAATACTGCAAATTCATATGCTAAGCCCTTGCAGCAAAGGTAACTCATGAACACCAATCAAAATCCCTTTCATAGCCTCCGGGAGCGCGTCCAAGAAACAATAGAGATAACAGTTTAGCTTGCTAATACTGGAACCAGGTTTTTCATTTTTGGTCCACGCACATTTTTGTAAAGCAGTGTGGCTTGATTCGAAATAGCATCGAAATATTTTAACTTCTATTGTGAAGGAAGTGACGAAAAATGACGGAGGTAAGCTTAGGAGCCTGCACTAACAGCAGCTTGTACACTGCTGCGCTGGCGTGCAGCAGGCAACAGAACATATTTGCAAGCATAAACCTGAGAACTTTGTCCGCCAACATTGGCCGCAGTATTGGAAAAGCAATGCGATGCACTGGTGCGATGTCTGCAAATGCTGGATGAACGATACCAAGGCAGCTCGCCTCAATCACGAGCGGGGCTCCCAGCACCAAGCCAAGCTAGCCACAAGTGAGTACTGACAGTGAACCAGGGTTCGGCTTGATGGACTCCCGGGACCGTACGGCAAAGCCCAGCGGCGGCGCGCACATACTTTTATCCAACTTGCGACGTTGTGAAAGTGATTTGACCTCGCGGATGCGCCTGAAGGGGCTAAAGGGGACCCATTCCCTGGATCCTGGAGCCGGTCGCCTTTCATGCACGTGCGCGTGCCGTACGTGTGCCGTACGTGGGTTCCGATACTCAGTTACACACATGCTCCCTCTTTATCGTACTGCGCTGACAGTTGTTGACCAACACCACGTGGTTTACCGACACAAAATCCCCATAGCAGATCCAGACCAAATAATCTGGAATAATGCGCGAATATTCTCGAAAGAAAGCATTCTCGCCAGTTCCTGCGACTCCTCAGATCATCATTACAACAACATCACTTACGACCAAAAAGAGCGCAACGGAGCGGTTGGTGACCTTCATCACGGTAGACCGCTAAACCCTTCGCCGCCCCCCCCCCACGCGCGAGGCCCGTGTGGTTGATCTGGGGGGTGTTATTGTTCTCCCCCCTTGCCCCCACGCCTTTCGCAATGCCTGTGACACGCTTCCGTCCTCCTCCTCCCCCTCCCCTTCTCTCCATCTCCGTCCTCCTCCCCCTCTTCAATCGTGTGTGGTTCGTCTTTCCCCCTCTCTCCCTCGACCTCGACCTCCTACTCCTCCTCCCCCCCATCCAGAGCTCCGTGACATGGCTCGCAAGGCGGACCAGGAGGCCAAGGCCAAAGCCACCAACGAGGTCGCCATGTCCAAGATAGAGGCGGCCGCCAAGAAGCAGTACGAACAGGACCGCAAGGCGGCGGCGGCGGAGGCGGGCAGCTGGACGTGGGACGCGCAGTGCAGCTACTACTACAATGCCACGTACAGGTCGGCGGGATGATAGATAGATAGATAAGTAAATAGATAGATAGATAGATTGTAGGACTTCACATACTTACAGACGTACGGATACACACCTTAAAACCGCCCTAAAACCCGATTTCCCCTCCCCCGCCCCTTCCAGATGGTACTATGACCCCAGCACTCAGTGGTATTACGGAGGGGAGCCTGAGCCCACCTGGGTGCAGTCGCCGCCACTGCCCGCGGCAGCCCGCTTCGGAGCCGCCCCGCACGAGGGCGGACCCATCCCGCCAGCGACCGCCCAACAGGGGGGCCCTATATCCACGACATCCTCATCTGCAGCAGCAGCAGGTGGAGGAGCAGCGGGTGCTTCCGGGCGGTCTGAAGGTAACCCCGTCATCATGCTCAAAACGGTTCAACGGGTGGTGGCGGTGCCCAAGCACCCCCTGGCCGGTGTGGGGGGCTACCAGGCGCCTACCTCGGGGCGGGTGGGCGGCAGCATGGGCACAGGTGCGAGCGTGTGTGTGTGTATGCGTGTGTGCGCGGTGGTGGTGGGAGCGGGGGGTGGTTGGTAGGATGGTTTGCACTAGAAGGGATGGGTGAACGGGGGGTAGGGGTAGGGGTAGGAGGGATGTTTAGGGAAGTGCGGGGTGAGGGGAAAACGGGGAGTGGGGGAGAAGACCAAACGAAGCGAGCCGTACGGCGTTTCCTTGTTTTCCAGATGGATGGCACGGCACCCTGTCCGACAGTAGGTATTTCCGTTGCCACGTCAGCCAACCTCCCGACTAGGATCGCCATTTTTGTTACAACTGAAAACCACCATCCGCAGGACATAACACAAGCAGCAGCAGCACAAGCAGCTGCAGCACAAAGGGGGTAGCACTCGGCGCACGCACCAACACGCATAGGGCCTACCGAAACACAAAGCCCTTCCCCCTCCCCGTCCCCCCTCCCGCCATCTTGCCGTCCCTCCCCCCCAGGGGTTGTTCTGGAGGGCGACGGCGGCGGTAGCAGTACGGCAGACGTCGGATCTAAGCGCAAGCGCGAGGAGCCGGGCAAGGTCGGGGGCCCGGCGGCGGCGGGGGGAACCAAGGGCGCCGTGGGGGGAGGGGCGGCCAAGGGGATGATGTCGGCGGAGGAGGCGGAGGCGCTCGCGCGGAGAGAGGCAGCGAAGCAACGAGTGGCGCAGCGCACGGCGGCGGGCTTCGGTTACCTCTAGTCCTTATATAGCACTGCAGTACGACTGAAACGTCCTATTTGGTGAACAGTTTTGACTGTGTGTTGACCTTGCGTTGACCGGGGTCTGGCTGGGTTACGGCAGGCTTGTGTGCAGCTCTCTCCTGTCCACGACGAGCTGAGGCGGCGAGGGATCCGTGCACTGTCGTACTGTCTGTCCGCGTGTCTGTTTGTCTGTCTGTCTTGCCTATAGGTATACGTCGCCTTCGGGCTGCCTATTAACATCTGACGTCTGTCTGTCGGTCTATCGGTCGGGCAGGCTGCTGCCCTTTGGTCTGTCCATCCGTTTGTCTGTCTGTCGGTCTGTTTGTTGGGGGCTCGCCGGGGGCACATCGGGGTTTGGTCTGCTTGTTGGGGGCTCGCCGGGGGCACATCGTTATAGCATGCGCTGGTGGGGCCCTCCCCTCTCCCCGCTTCCTGTCCCCGCTCCCTCTCCCGCGCCTTGAGGGGCGATTTAGGATCCACACGTACCCAAAGACGCGTGTGGGTGCGACAATGTGTCCCTCCCCCCATTCTCTGCTGGTGGTGGTCTGGTCTGGTTTCGGCTCGTGCGGGCGGGCCGTTGCCGCGTCATGACAACAAGCTTGGAATGAACGAATGCATGCATGCATGAATGAACACTCTGATCTACCCTCCGAGGCCGAGTACGGCACCGAACATCGTACTTGTTGTACGGCGGCTCCCTTGGCGACATGCCACAACTCATCTTTGCCGTCGCGCCATGCACGTCAAAATTGGTTTTGATCTTTTTCATTATTGTTTTATAATATATGATGTTATGTTACTTTTGCGTTGCTTCAAAAAACTGGTAACCGGTAATGACGGCGGCGCTATCTAGCAGAAAAGCAACAGTGAAAGTGCTTCAGCCGACAACAGCTAATGAAAGGGCGAGAGCCATAAAAGAACTTTTGCAAAGTATGCGAAAAGGTAATTATGGGGATGCCGATGGCCGGATGGCAAGCCCTCTAGGGGCGGGTGAGGTTACATACATATATGCAAGTTACAGATATACATACACGTTGTACATGTTCCGCACACTCGTGCGGGCAGGGGGGGCCATGTCTTCAAACCCTAGGGGGAGGGGACCCCGTCAGGGAGGGGCCTCTCAGGTTGTGCGCGTCGTGTGGTGGTTTTGGTCTTCTGGTGGTCGCGGGTGTTGTATATTTCCGGATGTGTGGGTGCGTGGGAGGGAAAAATACCCCTCACGGATATGTACGGGTGTACGGGTGCAGCTGGGTGTACGGCGCGGTTCTGCTGAGCTGCTGCAGGTGCTTATGAATTTAAAATATTTGAATGGAATTTCGCTTTACAAAAGTATGGATTTCGAATCCAAAGATTTTGGGTTGACGACGCATGGCGTGTCACACAACAGAATCGGGCTCCCTATTATAGGCACACACTACTACACACAAGTACACATTACTACACACATATACATACATATGCAAACATTAAATAAACAAACGCCGAATTCAAAGAGTCCTTCACACCTTCGCATTCCACGTCACGCATCCTGACTCATCACTTGGCTGAGTCGAAGCGCCAAAGTGCCGACGTTGGCGTGTCGTACAGACTGCACACAGAATGGAATGGACTCGTGGCTCAGTCCGTTGCAGCTAAACACACAGATTGTGTGGTCAGGAGTCAGTAGGGTCAGTATGTTGAAAAGGTGCCTCCGCTCTTCTAGGGGGGATGAAGAGCCACTGGACTTTCAAAAGATGAGGCTGCATAAACATGATGCATAGCAATGCTGCTGTGTCGTAAACAAAGGCAGTACGGCAAGTAACGTACTGTCCTTAGTGTTTTAGGGTCTTAGCGCACACATGATGTGTCCACTGAATTGACTTTTCATATCATAAATCTGCAAAAGAAGCAGCCAACGAACAACACGCAAGCACACACACACACACTCTCTTCTCTCCTCGCCCTTACTGTCGCTCCACTCCTCTCCATCCACTGCGGTCTTTCCTCTCTCGCACGGGGAAAACGGCATGCCCGCACTCACTCCGCTCTCAACTACCAACCACCCAACCGCCAACCACCTAACCACCCTACCAGTCCTACGTCAGACGCTTCCCACCTCATCCCCACCTCAACCCCTTTAAAAAATGGCACGTCTGGGTTTTGACACTCTCTGAGGTGAAACCGAAATTAACCCCCCTTCCAAACCCCTTCAACCGCCAACCGCCAACCGTTTTCTTCTTGCATGTCTTGCGGCCCCTTTCCCCTCCCCCCCCTGTTTTCTCTTCCCCCCCCGTCAGAAACCCAAGTCAATCAGACGCCGCCCTTCGGTAACCCCCCCGCATCAGGGCCCCCCCCCAGACCCGCGGTCACCAAGTCCACTACTCGCGCCATGTTGTCCACGCTCAGCGCGGAGTGCATGTCGGTGAGGGAGATGAAGATCTCGACACTGATCAGCAGGATGATGCTGAGCTCGGAACGCTTCGTGAAGGACTCGTTGTTGGCGGAGATGAGGTCCAGACAGGATTGCTTGAGGAGGTCAGTCTGCGGGGCGAGTGGGCGTGCGTATGTATGTATGTAGGGTTGGCAAAAATACTATATTTTTTTACCCAAATAGTATAGTATAGTAAGAAATAGTACTATATATAGTAATATAGTACTATGATACTATTACTAGGCAGGTACACGCTCCCTGTAGAAGGGGGGTGTACGACCAACCGTTGTACCTGAAAATTACACCGTTGGAAAGGTCTTCTTTTGTTCTTTCTAAATACCTACTTAGACATGAGAAAGCAGATCGCTGTGGTCATCCAGATCACTTTTTGTTAGTTCAGTGCCCGGTAGGTGGACCCCAAACCCCATGTCTCAAGGCGTGTTATGGCACATAAAGACATAATCACAGATAGAAGACCCAGTGTTGACAAGACAACACACGGACGCCATACTAGTGAAGTTCCTGCACTACAACGGCCCAGTACGTAACCCGCCTGCTGATCCGCCGTGCTGGGGCCCGCCGCAGCAGAGCTGGTTCCACTCTGTTGCTGTTGCTGGCTGAGTGACGCTGCACGCTGTTTGATAGCCTTGCAAGCACCTTGCTTGATGTGGTGCGCGTTGGTAAAGGATGGGTTCGCGGCGCTGAGCGGCTCATCGCAGAACAGGCAGACTAGCTTTGGTAGACCACCCCACCACTCCACATCGAAGTTGTCCCAAAGACTACCCGTCTTGGCGTTCTTTTTCTGGTTACGTAGCTTGTTAAAAAGCTCGTTCCGAGAACGGAGAACTTCAGGGGGGACGTCTGGACCAGGATGCAAGCCTCTGATCGCCTTGTCATTCTTTATACTGGATTCCTTTGACATTATTCATCAATAACTACGTAGCACAGCTCGAAGACGCGGCTATAGCCCTTCGAAATACAGCTTGACTGCAGATCTCGACTTGGTCCAACTAATACTGGACACTATCCAAACCCAAATCTAGTACTATCTAGTACTATTTTTACTATACTATTTTACTATGTACGAACGCGGTACGAGCGTCGTAAACTAGTACCAGTTTAGAGCCCTGCATAGTAAATAGTACTATGCATAGTACTATTATAGTATAGTACTCTTTTCTAGTATAGTACCCGTGCCAACCCTATATGTATGTATGTATGTATGTATGTATGTATGTATGTATGTATGTATGTATGTATGTATGTATGTATGTATGTATGTATGTATGTATGTATGTATGTATGTATGTATGTATGTATGTATGTATGTATGTATGTATGTATGTATGTATGTATGTATGTATGTATGTATGTATGTATTTGTATGGATGTATGTGGGGGAAGGCGTGAGGGCCGTGTGTGTGTGTTTTGTGTGTGTGTTTTGTGTGTGTGTTTTGTGTGTGTGTTTTGTATGTGTGTTTTGTATGTGTGTTTTGTATGTGTGTTTTGGTGGGGAGGAGGAGGAGGAGGGGGAGGTCCATAGCCGGTCAAGAGCACGGTGTTTGGGGGTGAGGATGGAAGGGAAGCGGTGGGTTAGTGTTCAGCAGCTGAGCCGTATCTTTGCATTAAATATCATTTCCATCATCGTCATCATCGTGGTCACGATCATTGTGATCATACCACTCCCCCTCACCCTCAAAAACCCCCCCGTCCTCACCTTTTCCCCCCGTCCTCACCTCCCCCCCCCGTCCTCACCTCCCCCCCCCGTCC